CCGGCAGCTACTGCTTATTCCAGCTAAAGTTGCAGAGAAAGGAGGGCATCAGGCTCAGGGGGACCGTCCCAGCCTTCCTACTACCCCCTGACAACTAATCAAGCTCCCTCTAAAGCGGCTCCTATGGAAAATTCTGTAGACAGGTAGACACCACCTCACCTCTTGCTCAGGTGAGAACTGGTAGCTCCTCCCTGTCAAATGTGCACCTCAATGCCTTTTCTCCAAGTGAGTTTTGCAATCCAAGAGCTGTCACCGTGAGCAGGTGGGACAGGAGTGAAAGAGCTCCTTCCGTTGGTCCTGCTGCTGCTGCTGGCTCAGAGACAGGAGACAAGACAGGTGAGACCTACCTGCTCTTCCCTCTATCAGGAAAGATACTAAACTAAGGTAATGCTTTTTCTCACTGAGTCCTGGGGTTTTGTGGTTTCAGGCACTTGTAGTTAAAGTATTTTTTTTTTCTAACGGCTTCCCCTCTAGGTCATAAAAGCTATTTCCTTTTCTTTTCTTTCTTTCTTTTTCTTTTCTTTTTTTTTTAATTTTAAATCTTCAAACTCCTTCAGGAGTTGCTACACCTTCATATTGGGACATCCTTTCTCATTTGCAAACCTCAGCTGTGGCTGGGGGCAGGGCTGCAGTGAGCTGCCAGGAGCAGAAAGAAAGACTTCCAAGTAATAGCCCTAGATGGGAGGAATGTAGGGAAACTTGGGGGGGGGGAGATTAATCTGGGATGTGGCAGTCATCAGGAGGCTCCCTCCCCAAAGGACATTTAGGATCAAAGCTGGCGTTCTCTTTCTTTGGTATATTTTGCGAGTTCGGTGCCTCAAGCACATCTGAGAACAGGTATGACTGAGCTCCACTTTCCCTTATTTGAAGAGCTTGTAGATTCAGGTCTGTGGTTGGGGGGTGGGGGGTCATCCAACTGAAAATCCAGTCACATGGCTCTCATAGCCATGCGGGCTGTGATGGGGATGGTCCAACAGGCATTTGGAATACACTTGATTTTGGAATGCAGTGGATCTGATTGCTTCTTGGCAGCTTCTCTTCCCCAATTATGTTTGGCTTAGTCTAGTAGTCAAATTACTTTGCAAGCCCTAAGCTGATCCAGAAGGCATACACGGAGGGGACAGAGAGAATACTGTCTACCAAGCAGCCTGGGTGGTAGAGGAGGGAGGATTCTGGCTGGAAATGTTCACTGAATAATCCTCTACCCAGCCCAGAGAAAGGTGACTGCATATTCGACCTTGGCCCTTTGTTAAGCTCTGAAAGCTGGATGTAACATGAGTCATTAAAATACCGCTCAATAAAGGCCATTGTGCACCCTTTTAATTGTTTTTCTCCCTGAAGGTAACTCGAGGAAAGACATGACAGGGTATTTTGAATGAACTTTATTAAAAACGTACAGTTTCTCATAATGAATATATGTTGTGGTTCAAAGGTTTAGAAATCTTCTAAAAATCTAACACCAGTATGTGCATGACATCAGTAAACAAATGCCTTGATCGTTTGAGTTCCAATTTGAATGTGGTCATTTCACCAGAGTAAAGCGAAAGTTTTCCTTTTTATAATTTAGGAAGGAACTATTTGCACAAAGTTTGATACTTTTAACAAGATAAGCAGAATGGTGAGCTTACTCAAGAGAACAGACTGGTTATTCTAATGGCTTTATGGAATTTATTATTCACAGGAGATTATGTTCATGAATTATTAAGTAGCTCAGCCACTTATTAAATCAAGTTTTAAAAAACAAAACAACCTCTAAGTTGACAGGTCTTATATAGCAAGTGTAATGAGTAGAGTGTGTATATATTCAAGCGATATTAAGCTCCAGACACTGCAAATACAGTCTGGTCAACTTCTACCTTACCAAGTGGAAATTGACCAAGCTTTATGATGTAAAGGTTGAAATATAAAAGAATAGTAATATATTTAAGCCTTTATGGTGTAATGTCTGGGAAACCACTTTCTGTCCTCTGTCTCCAACAATGAAATGTCTGATGGTAAGATCAACTAACAACCAACAATCTTGAGATTTAGCTACTATTTTCATAGTACATTTTTGGTCAATTGAAATGATTGCCTGGAAATTTATCCAGCCATAGATTCTCCAAGATGTAGTACTATGCAGTAGTCAAGAATTCCTAGTTCTTCTGAGTTCAAGTCAGTTACTCCACCTCTACAAGCTCAAGATCATCTATAAAACAGAAGTGATGGCACCGATTTCATAGGGTTGTCAGGAAGATGACAAGAGCTTAACACAGTAGAAAGTATTAGCAGAGTGTCTAGAACATACATAATAAGTGCTGAATAAATGGTTTTATACATACACCTTATAGACACACACCCATACAATATGCACATTTCTTGCATTTTGATCATTTTGAGATCCCACCACCTAGAAGCAGGAGGTCAAACGCATTAGAGCAGTGGTTCTCAACCTTCCTAATGCCACAACCCCTTAATACAGTTCCTCATGTTGTGGTGACCCCCAACCATAAAATTATTTTTGTTGCTACTCTATAA